TTGATAGAAAAGTGTAGGATTGTTGGATCTGAGAATTCTTTTCCTGTACTCTGAGGATTCTTTTCCTGTAGGTTAGAAAATATTTACATCAGACTAAGAAGCTACTGAAATCAAATCAAATGAACTGAAACCAAAGAAAATAGAAGGGGTGGAAGGAACAGAGGCAAGGAAGCAGAGATGGTGAAAGAGCAGAACACAAGCGAAATTGGTGAAAAGGTATAGTTTTGAGTAGTTGCCTATTTAAATCATCAATTATTAGTGTTGGGCGCTCCGCCTGGGATGGCGAAACGCACCCTGATGCGGCTCCTCGCGGTCCACTTGTACATCCTGTTCTCGGCTGAGCTGCACGGGGACGCCGAAGACATGATGATGGCTTTGTTGACACTGATGAACGACAGGATGATCAATGAATCAATCCCTGATCACACACATTTATATACAAGATTTTAGCATGTAAAAATCAAGAATGATCACCGGGAAATGGCAGATCACCAAGTCAAACGACCTTCACGAAACTTCTTGCCAAATCGGCGCGCCATCGGATATCCCGCTTTGCTCAACATTAGCAGTCATCAATTGAATGAATCACAGGGAAACAGGATGTTTCATTCAGGGAGTCGAATATTAAAGTGCTGCTAAACCCCACGCATAGCGCAGTGCGATTTAGCAGCATTTTAATATTGGACTCCATGAATGAAACGTCCTGTCTGCCTGTGATTCATTCATACATTCGTTTCGATGGTAAATTGGTAATGGCGCGTGTGGGGAATTCAAACCCTGCATCAGCTTGCTTGTAAACAGCCCTCAAATAAAGGAGCCATTGATAGATCCTTGTCATCGGGTGGTTGTCGCTGGTACTTGCTACTCTTGGAGCTACTTCCTAGAGCCTTTGGCTTTTAGAGACTCCCTTAGAGAGTGAATTTAAATTCTGGTATGAGGCCAGCAGTGCTAGGTTCAGCGGAGTGGGGTATTTTAAGAATTGCTAGGAAATAAGCCGAAAATAACAGTGGAAAAATTGTGATGAGAAGTTGAGATAAGGTGTTCTGTCTTTGTACGTAGCATTAGTCATAGGGTGAATTGGCAGTCGTATTCGAATGTGATCACATCGACGATTTTAAGACAAAAACGATTTTCTGAGTTTTCTGTGAATTTCCACAGATCATGCCACGTTTATAGCTAGATCATCATCACTCGTCCTCATTGAAATTATGTTACAGAAATTACCAGCACCAGCAATGTTCATGTTTTCCCGCCAGATTGCTTATGGCTTGCATGAACTTCTACGGACAAATGCTGCTAATGTTCATAAAAGTGGACATTGGGCAATACTTTTCGCATTATTGGAAGCTGCGGGCGCCGGCGCCTATCCGGAAGATTTCAGCACGCAGCGTGATCCCAATGTATGCTTAATTTTTTTTTTTTTTTTCATATTTTTATGAGTTTTTTGCAGCTATGCAATGCGGAAAACGCATATTGAAGAAAGGTTGTTTG